CCTCCATCACCCCAGCACAGACCTGACGCCTCCATCACCCCAGCACAGACCTGACTCCTCCATCACCCCAGCACAGACCTGACTCCTCCATCACCACAGCACAGACCTGACTCCTCCATCACCCCAGCACAGACCTGACTCCTCCATCACCCCAGCACAGACCTAACACCTCACTACCACAGCACAGACCTGACGCCTCCATCACCCCAGCACAGACCTAACACCTCACTACCACAGCACAGACCTGACGCCTCCATCACCCCAGTACAGACCAGACGCCTCCATCACCCCAGCACAGACCTGATTCCTCCATCACCCCAGCACAGACCTAACACCTCACTACCACAGCACAGACCTAACGCCTCCATCACCCCAGCACAGAACTGACACCTCCATCACCCCAGCACAGACCTGACTCCTCCATCACTTCAGCACAGACCTGACACCTCCATCACCCCAGCACAGACCTGATGCCTCCATCACCCCAGCACAGACCTGACGCCTCCATCAGCCTAGCACAGACCTGACGCCTCCATCACCCCAGCACAGACCTGACTCCTCCATCAGCCCAGCACAGACCTGACTCCTCCATCAGCCCAGCACAGACCTGACTCCTCCATCACCCCAGCACAGACCTGGCATCCTGGTAGGTCCTTCCTCACACCACACTGTGCTTCCAGGATGCCAGCCTTTGGAAGACTCACCCAAACCATGCCCACACTGCCTCTGCTTGGTGAGGGTCTGGCAGGAATCCCTCCCCATCCTGGTTGCTCCTGTGTTCATGCTGTGATGAGCTTAACAGTAGACTTTGTTGAAGAATACTAACTCTGTACTTGGGCCCAAATTAACCAAAAGCAAGATCAAAGCCTAACATTTCACCCTGCACCGTGGTATAAAGAGAGCAGTGTGTGTAGTTAGGCTGGTGCCAGTCCTGGCAGTTCTGTGTGTAGGCCCCAGTTCACACTCCTGGGTCACACAGGTCAGGGCGGTCACTTGCCCACAGATGCCAAATAAAGAGTCAGGTACTGGCATGGGAGATGGTTCTTTAGTTCATCTGCAGCCATGTTTGGGGATGCAGACATGAGTTTTAGACTCGCGGTCTAAAACTAGGTCTAGGATAGGCAGGTCTTGGTGTGTCCCGGTGGGCAGAGGGAGCAGGTGCTCTACAGCCCATGTCTCCTGCTTGCTCAGGTGGGGCCGGTTGGCCACAGTCCTGGTTCTGGTTCTCTGGGGTTCCAGGGAAGTTGCCTTCACTGCTACTGGAGTCTGTGCAGTATCTACCTTGGTCCTCGTGTCCAGTGAGGCAAAATGTGAAACCGTGAAAATGATAGGAAAGTTTATTAGGAAAGGAGTGCCAAATAAAGAGACACGGTGAGAGCAATGAGATTTATGACACGCCATCGTGCAAGGAGGTGGGAACGTGGCCGGCAGAGCTGAGGCCTTGCAGCGGGCAGGAGACGGGACAAGTGGATGAAACCAAAGCCTGCCTGGCAATGAATGCAGGGGCAGCTGCGAGAGAAAGAGGAGGCGGGACATCCGGCACGCGAGGGGGAGCAAACCCCAAAACGAGGAAATGAGGACGGTGCACTGTCTTATGAGGAGCATGAAGGAGACCCACCAATCAGAAAGTTGTCTTCAGAGACCCAGTTTTCCCTGTTGAGCCACGTCATCTCTGTAACCCCAAAGCCAGGGCAGGATGGCTGGAGATGAACTGAGGAGCTGACTCCAGTGCCGTGTGTATGGCATGGCTTCTATTTCTCTGCCGTTTTTTTCTCCTAACAAGAAAATATTTACTATGTTCACATCTTGCCTGAATTCTTTTCCTCAACAAAAGAATTTATTTATTTACTTTTGTCTGTCCTGGGACTGACAGCCACCCTGCCGATAGGGCCCGAGTAACAAGCAGGCTCTGGGCAGGGCGGTGGTGGCCAAACTGTCTTTACTGCTTTTTTTTTTTTTTTGCCAGTCCTGAGTCTTGAACTCAGGGCCTGGGTGCTATCCGTAAGCTCCATTTGCTCAAGGCTAGTACTCTACCACTTGAGCTACAGTGCCACTTCCAGCTTTTTCTGTGACTAATTGGAGATGAGAGTGTCACCGACTTTCCCACCATGCTGGCCTCAAATGTCTATCCTTAGCTCTCAGCCTCTTGAGTAGCTAGGATTACAGGCATGAGCCACCAGGGCCTGGCCCTTTACTGCTACTTTTTTTCCCCCCTTCAGTTGTGGGGCCTGAACTCTGGGCCTGGGCGCTGTCCCTCAGCTCTTCAGCTCAAGGCGAGCGCTCTACCACTTGAGCCACAGCGCCACTTCTGTTTTTTTCCATTTATGTGGTGCTGAGAAAATCGAACCCAGGGCTTCATGCATGCAAGGCAAGCGCTCTACCACTGAGCCACCTCCTAGCCCCTTTACTGCTACTTTTAATGCAGATGTTGTCAGTAAATGAGAACAAACCAGGCAGTGCTGAGGAACTGTTACCAGAATCCCTGAGAGTAAAATGGGTCTGGGTCCAAACACTAATGCACACTAAGAGAACAGGATAGACTATACTGAGAAGTAGGGAGATGAGCTTATGTACAGTTTTTCTGGAAACTGGAGAGAGTTTCTGGCTCTGCTTTGATGTGAGCAGTCTTACCATCCACAGAAGAGAGGAAGTGTGCACATGCAGATATTTTTCTCCCGAGGGGAGTCTTTTTCTGGCTCATGGCTCTTGAATGGCCCATTTTCACTCCCAGCATGGAATTTCCTGGAGGACACATCCTGGATTTGGGGGGCTCTGTGAGGGCAGCAGAGACCCAGAGGAGGCAGAGAAGGAGGCTGTCTGGTTCAGCCTGGTGCCCCAGGAGGTCCGGACCAACTGACCGGTCACAGCGAGCATGGAAGTCCTGGAGGGGATGGTCTCGGAGCTTCCTCTCTGGGGGTCCTGTGGGGCCACCAAGGGCAGGCCATGTGTCATTTGAGTTCCCTCCTGCCCAGGGCTTTACGGTTCAGATTTGCAGAATAAAGGCCACTTCCATCAAGCCTGTAAGCTGTACTTTCCCTAGCCCATTAGTAAGGAACTAGCAATCTCTATGACATGAACCGTAGTTCCTCTAACCATTTCCTGTCACCCTACTGTGTGAGGGGTGGCTTTAAGTGGAAATAAGAAAAAAAGTCAATGCCAGCTTCTGTGTGTGTGTGTGTGTGTGTGTGTGTGTGTGTGTGCCTCGGCGCCCAGCCTGACCTGCAGGAGGGTCCTCTGTCCCAGCTCTGTGTGTGTGTGTGTGTGTGTGTGTGTGTGTGTGTGCCTCAGTGCCCAGCCTGACCCGCGGGAGGGTCCTCTGTCCCAGCTCTGTGTGTGTGTGTG